GATCTGTCGGTTAATGTGAAGGTCAGAATTGAATAATAATAACTTCACAGACTGATGTGAGAAAACAGGTCAGACCTCGACATCCGGCCGCAGTGTCAGACTAACCATCCCTGAAATCTGTAAATCTGATTGATGGATGGAGGTGATGATGGGTTCAGCTGACAGATTCTCACTTGTAGCCTTCGCCGTCAGCGGTGGGTGGGTCACATGACTCATGAGTGTGTGGACGGTGTGAGTCACTGATGAGGCGGCATTGACAAGCTGAGAGTAAAATAAGGAACAGATTCCTCCTCTTCTAGAGGCCACCATCATAAGCAGCAGATGGAAGAAATGCATCTTACCTGCAGCAGCTGAGCCTGGGGTTGCCATGGAAACTAGTGTGCCAGCCACCAGCAACATTACGACGAGCGTTCGCCTGTGAGATGCGGTTCTCAGGTCCATACCGCTCCTGGTCCTGATCCTGAAGCTGGAGCCCAGCGGGATCACAGGGGCCATCTTCCTCAAAGGGCCGGCGGTCTGACTCGGACGCAAAGAGCCAAGGGCCCGTCAGGAGGACCTGGACGGCACAGCAGAGTCCTCACTCACACACTGATTCATAACGCATCAACATCATGTTTCTGTGGAGCAAAACAGTTGGTTTCCCTCCAGTCTGACCATCATGGATCCCAGAATAACTGATCTCACTTGGTCCAAACCAGGCCTGTCCCAGAGACACGGCCGGATGGGACCCGCTAAGACAAGAAAATGACCAATGATGGATGGATTCAATGTTTAGCGAAAGAGAGTAAAAGTTGTTAGGGGGTTAGAGTGACTTTTTGAAATGAGTAATGAAACTATACTGAAAGGAATGATGGGTAAGGAGAGTAAGAGGGATAATAGAGGGTTGGGAAGGGCATTGATAGTGTTGGAAGTAACAGTGTCACATAAATCAAAGGACTCCTTTGAAAAAAAATAAGCTTTTAAATCTCCTGGTTGCATCATAACGGCGCAATCACACGTAATCAAGTAGCTCGTTACTAGAAGTCGATCAATAAAAGCAATTTTTCATCAGGACTCTCTCTGCAGCAGGAGAGGAATGAACAGGATATGGAGCCGAACCCGTGACACGGAAAAAGAGATTAGGAATGCTAGAATAATCAGGGAAAATGTCAACAGTAAAAATCAAACATTGCTACTGAAGAAGTGGAAATGTATCATGGTTTCCTTATTTTATGCTCCATCTTTTGATCCAATGATAGATGTTTCTGTGGATTCCTTCAGTGGATAAGCTGAAAGCTCCTTTAGGGGCCTTCATCTAAATGCAATGAACTTCTGTAAGCCTCCGGTTCAAGTAGAGGAGACTGATGATGGTTGCAACAGGTTTTTTCCTCCAATCTGAAGCGTGGTCCTGGCCTTACAAAGATTGCACAGCTAAGGTGATTTTTATATAGGCCACTGCTGTGAATCTGACTGATGGGGAGGAAGGGGTTTGGCAGATGATCATTTTAATGTCAATTAAAAAATATATATATACTATCAAGAAAAAGAAATATAAATGTTTAAGATGTCTGTACTCTTAAAAGTCAGATTACGGGATGTTCTAAATATAAATCTTAAGCTGCGCTCGTCGTGTTAATTATGAATGTTTAATAGCAATGCTTGAAAAAGTTTCACAGTGTTTCATTTGGGATTTGCCGTTTTTCACAGAGGCCAAGGTTGCAGTTTTGCTTTATAAACTACAAATTCTCAGAATAAAACACTCATCAAAACAAACAGCTACATTTATGACATTTTGCATCCATTCCAGCAATGGTGCTGGATGCAGCAGTTAACTTTTTTTACACAGAGCCGCTGGAAGTAATTTTGAACAAGGGATGCTATGAAAATGTTTTGTTTTTTCTTGGCTGAAAGACCTATGAGCCTTTAGGCCTATTTTAAATACAATAAAAATAAATAAGTAAATAGATTGAAATATTTACACTTCAGTGCACACAGCCAAGGTCATCATCAGTTCTCAGGTGAATATATGCGCTATTAATTAAACTCACAATAACACTACAACAAAGTAGATTTGGTCAGCTGGCATGAATCTGAGTCACTGTGTTTATGTCACACGTGACTATTAGCTCCAAAATCCTTTTACACAAACCATGAGGAAGTAATTATATTATTATACTATATTAACGTTATTGAACAGTTCTCCGTGTCAGTTACACAAAGAATCCAAGATCAAAATAACCCTCTAAAATACTATGGTTACGTCCAAATGTTCAGGTCCGCTCTAAGGTCTTGGAGATAAAGTCTCTAATGAGCTGATGAATCCGAAATGTGTTTCTGTGCCATATTTCCTCATCGTTTCTGTCATTAGACTATGTAAATTTGCTAGATACCATGCTCTAGTTTGCCTGACGTTGCCATGACAACGTAACTTCCATGAACTTGTGTTGATTAGGCCTCAAAATTATTAAATTAAAATCCCAAATACAATCCTAAACATTAAAAAAAGGCAAAAGGATCCCAAAATAATTAATGTTGCGGTGATAACTGGCTGTGCAGTATTGGCCAATACCGACACCATACCGATACTATTGGTTT